CGTCAACAAATACATTGATTTGTGCAGTGCAAATAACTATAGCCTACCTGACGCATCTGTAGTCTGCCATCAAATAGTCACTGATGGTCAGCCAGTGCATGAAAGGTCACGCCGTTATTCAACGGAAAAATTAAAGGCAATTCGCGAAGAATTTTCAACGCTGTTGGAGCAAGGAATTATTCGTCCGTCAAACAGTCCGTGGTCGAGTCCAATTCACCTGGTAAAAAAGAAAACAGGTGCTTGGAGAGCCTGCGGTGACTTTAGAAAACTAAATGCGCAAACCAAACCAGATAGGTACCCAATACCATACCTAGACCAAGTAACGGAAAAACTACATGCTAGCAAATTATTTTCAAAGATTGATATACATAGAGCGTACTACAACATACCGATGCAAGCTGATGACATATGCAAAACCGCAGTAAGTACACCCATTGGGTTATTTGAATTTGTAGTCATGCCGTTTGGTCTTAAAAACGCTACGCAAACCTTTCAAAGGTATATGGATTCATTGTTCAGGAAAATGCCATTTGTCTTCTGCTACCTTGACGATATTTTAATATTCTCAGAAAGTGAACAGCAGCATTTGGAACATGTAGAAGCAGTACTGAAAACACTCAATAAGGCCAAGCTTGTCATAAACACCGCTAAGTGCGAGTTCGGAGTTTCACAACTAAGTTTTTTAGGGTATGATGTGTCAGTCGATGGTATCAGCCCGCCTGCAGAACGAGTGAGAGTAATTAATGAATACACGAAGCCATAGACAGTAAAAGAAATTCGTCGTTTTTTGGGAATCCTAAATTATTACCGCAAGTGCATTCCACAGGCCGCCAAATTACAAGCACCTTTAAATGAGCTATTAAAAAATTCAAAAAAGAATGACAACACGCCTATAACATGGACTGCCACGTTAGATGCAGCGTTTGAAAACTGTAAAACAAGTGTAACCGCGTTACCTAAATTAACATTTTTGTCTCCATTAAGTGCAATTCGATTGACATCGGATGCATCAAACAACGCAGTTGGTGCAGTACTGGAACAGCAAGAAGGTGATGTTTGGCGACCGGTTGCGTTTTTCTCTTCGAAGCTCAAGGCAGCGCAGAAGAATTATAGCACGTACGACAGAGAGTTGCTAGCTATATATTTAGCCATCAAAAATTTTAGACATTTACTGGAAGGTAGAAATTTTACAATTCAAACAGATCACAAACCGCTCATTTATGCATTCCAACAAAAGTCAGATAAAGTTTCACCACGTCAACTACGACAACTAAGTTTTATTGCAGAGTTTACAACAAGCATATCATACATAGATGGTAATGACAACATAGTGGCTGATAGTTTATCCAGAATTGATGCAATTAATATGCCTACGGTTATAGATATCGAGATAATTAGCAACCATCAGAAAATAGACGAAGAGCTTAAGCAGCTATTAAATTCAGATTCAGCACTTCAATTACAAAAACTTTTTTTACAACCCGATATGTCAACCTTTTGTGATGTATCAACAGGAATCATCAGACCATATATTCCATCATCACTTCGAAAGAAGACATTTGCACATGCTGGTACTAAGTCAACGACAAAACAACTATGCAGCAAGTACGTGTGGCCGTCAATCCGAAAAGATGTCGCGAATTGGGTACGATCGTGCCAAAGTTGTCAACAAGCAAAAATAAACAGGCATAATAAACTTACGCCACAAGCTTTCAATCCATTGGATCAGCGATTCGATCTTGTACATTTGGACTTAATAATACTTCCCGAATGTGACGGTTACAGATATGCACTAACCATGATGGACAGATTTACACGATGGCCAGAAGTCGTTCCGTTGAAAGATATCACCGCCGATACAGTCGCAGAAAATTTTTACGCACACTGGATATCGCGATTTGGTTCTCCGAAAATCATAACAACTGATCAAGGAACCCAGTTCGAATCAGCTTTATTCAAGGCGCTAGCAAATCGTTTAGGCACGCAAAGAATACGTACATCTCCGTATCACCCAGAATCTAACGGGTTAATTGAGCGATTTCATCGCACTTTAAAAACAGCTCTTATGTCGCGACCTAAACACGCTTGGATACAATTGTTACCATCAGTTTTACTCGGACTTCGATCATCCTATAAAGAAGATATCAACACTTCAGCAGCTGAAATGTTGTATGGAACGACATTACGTCTACCGGGAGAATTTTTTGTGGAAAATAACACGCTTCCGAACGAACAAAAATTCCTAGCAACATTACGCGAGCACATCCAGCAAATACGACCAATTCCGACGTCCAATCATTCTACCAAAGCTGTATTCGTTCATAAAGCATTGGGCGATGCGTCGCATGTATTCGTAAGGGCAGATCATGTAAGGAAACCTTTAGAGCTCCCATACACAGGACCACATAAGGTAATCAAGAAAATCAACGATAGACTTTTTACAGTTGACGTACGCGGTAAGCAGGTTAACATATCAATAAACAGGTTGAAACCGGCCTTTTTCGAGCCAGCAGTAATCGAACCAAAGTTTGCAGAAGTCGACGTAGATTGCAGACCTGTAAAAAAAGGAAAACTGACGCAAACGAAGAAGCAAGTAACCTTTAATGTGAAAGATCCGTTAGAGTAGCAGGTTACAATCAATAGTCAACAAACCAGACCACCGGTCCAGCTATTAAGGGGGGAGTACTGTGGCGAACTCGCCACACATACTGCAGCGCCCTCTGTGTGTGAATGTACACGCACTCGCACCATCTGTGGGCAAAAGGAACATTTTTCAATGAGCAGCTAACTTCAGTAACTGGCGACTGGCTTCCTTCTTCTTCCTATTTTGCACGTTTTAGTAACACAACGTTTTTATCATTTTGTAAACATTTGTTATATTTATTTAAAATAAAGTATGTGGTAAAAACCCACAGATCTTATAACAGTACAATTCCTACATATTTTATTAATATATTAAAAAAAATTGATTTTAAATTTAAAATTTATAAGAAAAATTTTGTTTTGAGGAGAAATCTTGAACACAATAATACGAATCAATTAAAAATTTATGCATATATATATATAATTTAGTTAAACATAAGTTAAGAAAAGAAATTTAAATAATTAAAAACATATTTTTTTGTTATGATATAAAACAATTTATTTTATAAATAAGTAGTAATTGAAGTGAATTTAAAAGCAAATGTTGTTTAAATCAATATCGGTAAATGAAATAAGTGCATATTATTTTTATACAATATTAAAGTTTAAGGAAAATAATTACATATAAATTACAAAAATTATTGAAAAACCTTAAAAGAAATTAATTTATATACCATATATATGGTATATAAATGATATATAATGGTTAAAAATACATATAAAAGCACCACAACATCAAAGAAAATTTCTATAAACTCAAATAATTTAGAGTTTCATTTGTTTCAAATACATTTTTTTTCTTAAAAGTTTCAACCAAAAACAAAGAACATACATATATATCTCGAAAAGACAGATTCTTTCCATATGGGCGAAAGAGATTGCAGACCAAATAGTGAAAGGCGTACGTGAATAAGGCGCGAATTAGCTGTTTATGGCAAACCAGCTTAACTTTGCAGTTGAGCTGGTTGTATAATTATTTATATTTTTAACGTCTAATCAATGAAATAATTGGAATTGTCTAAGCGGCTTGTTATGATTGCAGTCACGTCATGGCAATTGTTGTTGCTTTTAATGCAAAATGAAGTGAGATGCTAGTGTCAAATTTTCATTTTGTATTGAAAGCAACTACAGAGTGTTGGATGGCTTTCCTTCGACACCGTATGGTTCGAAGGTCTGATGCACAAACTATGCCACTTCGGCTTCCTTACAACACTCTGTAGTGTTATCCACCAGTTCCTTTCTAATAGATCCTTTGACAGGTAAGTTCGAGAATACTTCGTAAAACCGAATACGAACAGCACTACTATAGAATACTATTTGTTTCATAAAAAAATGTTTGAAAACCTTTCTGTTTTTAAAGAATCCTTATTATTCCATTAGCAATATATATTATGGACACATAATTAAGAAAATATTGGGAAAAGTGTACATAACCTTCTTAAAATTTATTATATAAAGAAATATTAGGGGTATTCAGGATGTCTGTGCATCCTTGCAAACTCAAATAATCGAGAACACACGTTGTGCATATTAGTCTTGAAAATATTTAGAACAGATGATGTTTGTTTACGTATTTATTTGCTTGTAAAATATAACTCAGATTCGATAATTTGGCATATAATAATTTCCACTAATGCCAAAAACAAGTGAAAAGCAGAATACATTGACATTGTCCGACATTGTTGATGGTAAAGTAAATAAAAAAAGAAACAATTGCACAAAATCATAAAATTACAAAATAACAAAATCAAAACAAACTTAACAGTTTCGCTGAAGTATAGAGTCTTCAAAATCAAATATGCAAGAGGTAATTGATGTTAAAAATATTGTCTTGAATATTGTCTTGCAAATCAAGTGCAGAATTATAAGAAAAGAAATTGTTTTTGTAAAATCAAATAAATTTGTACATGCAACGATGCACAGACATCTTGAATACACCTATTGTACATTTTTTTTTTTATAGTTTTATAGTCTGTGTTATTGACCAATTTTTAATAGCAAAACAAGTTATTTGTGTGTATTGTGATGTAATGTAATGTAATGTAATGCTTTAAAATCTTAAAACAAATTTATTAATTTCTAATACTTAAAATTAATTATTTTTTCACTTACTTTTGGTCGTGACAACCGCCTTGCCTCTACCGGAACTCAAAAACAAAAGCCAAGCACAAATGACAATCAGCTGACACATGAACTGACAGTTCATGTGTGCACTGGGTTGCATTTTCTAATTATAGCTGCACGGTTGCAACGACCAAAGCAAGTTTACAAACATTTTACGCACATTAACCTTTGGGTATGGAGTGGAGTTCTAACATTCTCCCCCCAGTATCTCTTTAATAAGAATACGACTTACTCTAAACTGCCGCTCCACGAACATCTAATACGGCTAATTTTGCAGCAGGTCTATGATATTGCCCTCGAGTAGTCTGCACTATGGCGCTCCTGGTCTGCCCGTCCCTTGCTTTAATGGCACTAATTACAATTCCTTTCGGCCATGTGTAGCGAGGAGAATTTGGGTCAACAATAATGACGACATCACCTGCTTCGATGGGTTTTATCTTACCAAACCATTTCGTCCGTCTTGTCATCGTTGGAAGCACCTCTTGTATCCATTTTTTCCAGAACCGATCGGCAAGGTATTGCGAATGCCTCCAGGAGGATTTTACGTGCTCGTCGTTAGTATCGAACTTCTCCGGCGGCTTGTTCCCGGAAGATGACCCCAACAAGAAATGATTCGGAGTTAACGCTTCTTCGCTTGCTGTTTCAATCGACAAATAAGTGAGCGGTCTGCTATTTATGATTGATTCTACCTCGCAGAACAGGTTATGCATCTTTTCATCATTAATTTTTGCTTGCGGGCTTATTATTGCTCCTAACACTGTTTTTATGGATCGCACCATCCGCTCCCACGCTCCACCCATGTGCGGCGCAGCTGGTGGAAGAAAAACCCATTGTGTTTCCGGACTTGTAAATTCAGCTTGCAATTCATTGAAGTCCACGTTTCTTATTGATTCTCGTAACTCCTTTTCAGCTGCTGTTAAGTTTGTTCCATTGTCACTATAGATGACATTCGGCACTCCTCTTCGGGCTATGAAATTTCGTATCACTATACAACACGAGCTGGCTGACAGGCTATAAGCTATCTCCAAATGCACTGCTCGACACGTAAGGCATGTAAAAACGACGCCATAGCGCTTCTCTGAGCGTCTTCCTACTGTTACAGTATACGGGCCAAAATAATCTATTCCAACATGTGAGAATGGTCGGGAGTATGCTGATAGTCGTGCTTCTGGTAACACACTCATCTCCGGCGGCTTTGGACTCGCATCGCGAACCTTGCAATGTTGGCAATTATTTCTTACCTGCTTTAACAGTCTACGCAGTCCCGGAATGTGGTATTTCTGAAAGATTTCGTTAACCACCGTTTCATGATTTAGGTGTTTCCATTTTCGATGATACCAGTCTACGATCAACTTAGTTATGTAGTTTTTCCTTGATAGTATAATTGGGAATTTGGTTGAATCAGCGATGCATACGGCTTTATCTAATCTACCTTTCAATCTTAAAACATTCTGTGCATCTATGAATGGTGAAAGTTTTCGCAAAGGGCTACTTTTAGAAAGAGTAATATTAGCGTCTCTACTTAATGCAGTCATTTCTTTCTTGTAATCCTGTAACTGGGCTGTTTGGTACAAGAAATTTTCACTCCATTTCAGTTCCTCAACTGACAAGCATTGGTTTACAGATTTCTTCTTTTTCATTTCATTAGTTGATAGTAAAGACATAAATCTTTTCACATAGGCCATGCATCGAACTAAACGTTCCCACTTTGAAAATCGGTAGACATCTATGAGAGGTTCCTCCTCTGCTACATGAGCCACCAACAATCGTTGCTTTCTGATTTCAGCATCTTCGTTATATTTCTGTACGCCAACATTATTTGGCCAACAAGTTTCTGCTTCATACAGGAACTTCGGTCCCTTATACCAAGGGTTTTTCCAAGTAAAGTCTGGATTACTAGTTTGTTTTGTAGCCAAGTCCGCAACATTTAATTTTGTAGGAACGTACCGCCATTGTTCTGCTTCGGACAACTCCTGGATTTCTGCTATGCGGAACATTACAAATTGTTTGTAATCTCGTGGGTCAGATTTTATCCACGATAGAACAGCCTTTGAATCGCTCCAATACGTTATACTGGTCACTTTCAAGTCTATTGCCCTTTTTATGTTGTTTCCTAAGCGTGCTCCCAATTCCGCCGCGAGTAATTCCAGTCTTGGAATTGATATTGGTCGTAATGGTGCAACTTTTGCTTTAGAACATATCAAGGAAACATCTATGTTGTTGCGATTCTTCGCTCTTAGGTACACCACCGCTGCATATGCAACCTCACTTGCGTCCACAAAGACATGCAATTCAATGGAGTCTGCATCCTTATTAACCGTAGCGAAGTAACATCTCGGTATCTTCACATTTTTCACACCGCCAAGCAGCGACAGCCATTTGTTCCACTCATCAACTAGCTCATTAGGAATAGCGTCATCCCAGCTAACTCCACTTCGCCAAACTTTTTGAAACAAAATTTTTACGTCAATAATGTAAAAGGTAAGCATCCCTAAAGGGTCGAATATTGACATCATCAATCGTAGCAACTCTCTCTTCGCAGGTAATCTATATCCACTTAGAACATCCTCAGTGGCTTTGGTAAACTTCAGATCAAATGTGAGCATATCAGTGTCGGTTTGCCAATGGATTCCCAATACCTTCTCTGCCTCAAATGTATGGTCTATACGCCTTCCAGCCGAGCAAAATTGAAATTCCTGGCCTTGGTTACCTATAGCTTTCAGCACTGCGTTAGAATTTGAAACCCAATTGCGAATATGGAAATTTGCTTTCTTATGAATATTTCTAACCTCATTGACTAGATTAATCGCTTCCTCCACTGTGTCGACGCTATCCAGCATGTCATCTACATAATGCCTTTGTAAAATACATTTCACTGCTCGCGGAAACTCGGTTTCGTATTCGCGTGCATTACTATTTTTTACCAGTTGTGCCAACGATGGTGAACATGTTGCCCCAAAACTCATAACTTGTAGCAAATAAACGTCTGGTGGTCTGCTATCGTCACAATTTCTCCACAGGAAGCGTTGTGAATGTTGATCTTCTTCTTTCACGAGTACTCGATGAAACATCTCTTTAATGTCGCCACTTCTACCAATTTTTCCGATTCTGAAATTAACAAGAACATCTACCAACGAAGTGAGCAGATCTGGACCTTTCTCCAAACACGCATTTAACGAGACTCCGTCATATTGTGCAGCTGCATCCCACACTAGTCTTTGCTTTTGTGGTTTATTCGGATTACTGACTGTAAACATCGGTAAGTACCATTTACGTGGATAATACCCCTCGGCTTCGTTAGATTTCAGCTGGCGTATATAACCTTTCGCCTTCATGTCATCGATGTGATCACATACCCAGCTTTGCAATGTTACATTGGATTGCAGCTTGCGCTCAAAGCACTGAAGTCTACGCAACGCCATTAAGTAATTATCCGGCATAGTAATGTTATTTGATTTCCAAAGCAATCTTGCTACAAAGTATTCACCATTTCGACTTATTTTTGATTGCATACTTTTTTGTTGTTCCAACTCCATATTTTCTAGTTTTTTCTTACTTTCAATAACGTTTTCATTACTGACAAAATCTTTCACTAAACGCTGCAAACTTAGATCATCATCGCATTCACAGATGTGTAAATTTAACGTTTCCCTAATAGTATTAGGTTCGTGCTTAATTATTCCATATATGGTCCACCCGAGTCGAGTTTTCGTTGCAGCTGGCTCATTCTTGCCTCCCTCTCTGAACTTCATTGGCATAGCTACCTCTTTATTGCTTAGGCCGTTTATCATTCGAGGCCTAACGTTTTGATACGATTCTACTGGTAGTCCCTTTAAATGTTTATACTTATCGGTAAGTTCTGTCATATTTAAAGATTGCTCGGGTAGCTCCAGCTTAGCTACTGAACGCACATTGCACAACGAATACCTTTTACCTTCGCGTATTTTGGAGACTTGCAGGTTGACCAGCTCAGAATCAGGTTCCTTGCGTACCGTACCATCTGTCCATCGTAAACAAAGATCTTTCGTTTCACCTTTAATCCGCAGTTGTCTTAATACGTCTTTTTCTATTAACGTTGGACCAGATCCGTCATCCAGAAAGGCATAAATGTTGCAGGTAACACCATTTCCATATATTGTAACTGGAACAATTCTGTACAGCGCTTGTGAAGTTAGTTGATGATGAACCGCCAACGTTTCATTTGCCCCACTTGCAGTTGAATTATTTGTTTATGTAGCAATGGGTGATGTTTCATGTTGCAATTGTGTATACCGCACTCTCGGGTCCTCTTGCACGTTCGAAAATCATGCTGCAGTAGACATCTTCCACATAGTCTCATTTCACGCACTACGTTCCACCTCGCGTCTGTTTTTAGTGTTTTAAACTTTGCACACTTTTTCAACGCATGTGCCTCCTTGCAATAAAAGCATGCTAGAATTTTGTGCTTATCGCCTACTGCACCCTGAGGTTCTTCTTCGTGAAAATTAATGCGTTGCGCTTTGCGCCTTTCATTATCTACACTGGCTCCAGCACTAAAAACTGGCGATACCTTACTTGCTGCTTCTGCTAGTTCATATATCCAGTTGCCGAATGTTTTAAGTGTTACATTGATATTACGCGATGCAACAGCCCACTGCAATCGCATCTGCGGTGGTAGTTTTTCCACAAGCTCTTGGATAAGCAACGGGTTCACTAAGTGTGAATGCAACTCTGACGCCTCCATAGTTGCGATCAGATTCTTTACCTCTAAGGCGAACGTAACAATTGTGTCCAGTTTATTTATATTAATGTACACTGCTCGAATTTTAGTAATTAAGTTATTGATTATGTGTTCTGGTCTTCCAAATACCATTTGAAGAGTTGACATTATTTCCGGCACTAATGCTGGTATCATGAGCCTACTGCTAACATATTCAAGTGCCTTACCCTTAAGGGCACGTTGCAATCGTAAAAGATTCTCGTCTTCACTGAAACCGCATAAACGTGTTGAATTGCTGAAACTGCTGTAGAAAAGTGGCCACTCTTCCGGTTTTCCGGTAAATATAGGCAAATCTCGTGGAACGACATGACGCGCATTAATTTGTTCTATCATCAGCGCCGGTATAACTTTCGATACTGCTTGGGCTTCCGCCCTATCAGCTGAACCACCCAACTGAACACCACAACCTTCGTTTGGCTTGCTGTCATCGTTGTTCATACCAACCTGCTTCTTCACCCATTCTAGCGTCCTATGTGTCCTTACCTCACTCATGCCTTCACCCTTAACATCATCCTCGCCTACATACTTCAGCATTATTGTACGTTTCTTTTCTATATATTTCATTTCGGCTTTTCTTTGCTCTTCTAAGTACTGCAGTTCGATTCTCATGCTGTTTCTTGACATGATTGAACCGCCCTTACTTACCAAGTCCTCCTCACTTGGTGCCTTATTCGGAACCGCTTCTGAAACCTGCATTACCGTGTTGCATTTTTCGCAACTCCAAGGCAGGTCTGCAATGCTGTCATCCACGCCCACGCATGCAAAATGACTCCATTGGTCACATGCGTCGCATTGCACCATCTTTCCAGTCTTCACCTTTTTGCACACGGCACATTGTACAGTCGACTTCTGGCTGCCGGATGACATATTTTTCTTTTATATGTGTTCCCGATTAAAAGGATTTTTTCGGATTTCTTTCCAGGCAAATCGCCACACTATTTTCTTTTCTCGATTACCGCAAGATTTTTACAGCTTGCCACAAAAATTTTAAAGTTTGTTATTGACCAATTTTTAATAGCAAAACAAGTTATTTGTGTGTATTGTGATGTAATGTAATGCTTTAAAATCTTAAAACAAATTTATTAATTTCTAATACTTAAAATTAATTATTTTTTCACTTACTTTTGGTCGTGACAACCGCCTTGCCTCTACCGGAACTCAAAAACAAA